TTGTTTCTTTGTCTTTATTTGCATTATAAATTTAAATTTTATTCTTCGTTTATTCTGCCAAAATAATGACCGTGCAATGCACGGGTTAGAGAACTAGTTTCCCTAATGATGAAAAATTGCATAGGGCAAATTTCATAAACTGGAAAAGTGACATAATGTGCATTCTTTGCAAGAAGCATATGGAGTATGTGGTTGAAGTGCCCATCTTGGAACGTCCTGACACATATACGATTATGCATGAGACGCATCCTTATTCTAAGCGTGTTGTCGATAACCAGATAGTACCGAATTTCCTGCTGGTCATCAAGACATTTGAGCTCTCGCAGGAATTTTGGAACATGAATTCATTCGATGTGATAGTTGAATTTAGTGACCTCTTTGTAAGTAAAAGTGAGCACTAAAAGTTCCTGCTAGGGCACATTGCATAAAAATGAAAGAGAAGAAGAATGATGCCTCGATGTCAAGTGTGTTTGATACGAACCTTGACGTTCCGCACGGAGAAGAAGCTCACAACCCTTCCGTCCCAGCCACGTCGGGTCGTCCAAAGAGGAACGTTCGTCCGACAAGAAAGTATCAAGACTATGTTTGATTATTTTTTCTATTCGTTATTTTCTATTATTGTATTTAGATTTTTTAGGTGAGCGTGATTATAAGCTCTTTCGAGGGTTTCTTTTCGGTTTTTTACCTCATCGCTTTTCTTGAACCGACAGGATAGAGAAAAGCACAACCCTTCGTGGGACTCATTGTCTTCTATATAAGGATGGTCTTCCTTCGACACAAATATCAATAAACAAGAAGTCCTCTCTTAAACTCTCTCTCTCTCTCTCTTTCCTCTCTTCTCTTGTCCCTGTCGAAACCCTAGAGTTTCTCTTCCCTGGCCGTGAATCACCCTAGCTGCCCAAACGGTTGCCGTTCTGTGGTTTTGCTCGGCTTCACGGTATCAACGGGTGCTCTCATTCCCGACCTCATGTCGATCCCCACCCTTACACCGGAAAACTACCCTACCCCCTTGAAGCCAGAAGACCTCATGCACGCCATAAGGGATATTCGGCAAGACCTCCAAGCCATGAAGCTTCAGGTCGCCGAACTGGCGCTCCCCAACAACGACAACCACCCTCCGTCGCGGCCTCCCTACACGGGCTGGCGCCCCCAGTGTCCCACGCCACAGCTTCGTCGACAGAACTCATCCCTCGCATGCGGGTGGATGCCCCCCGATTTTCGGGCGACGATCCCACAGGTTGGATTTTTCGGATCCAAAAATACTTTGATTATTTTCTGACGCCGGAACCAGAGCGCTTGCAACTCGTCGCCATGTTGGTTGATCATCCCGCATCCGAGTGCTTCTATTACTATCTTGCCAACAACTGTGGGGCCTCTTGGAAAGCATTCTTACAAGCCGTCCAACAATGCTTCGACCCCCACTATTACGAAAACTACGTGGGTCTTTTGTCCAAGCTCACACAGACAGGGTCGGTGATGGAGTATCAAATGGCCTTTGAATCGATCCTCAATAAAGTCTCCGGGGTCTTAGAACAGACTTTGATCTCTATGTACGTGGCAGGGTTACGGTAGCTTATTCAACGTGAGGTCAACCTTCGTACTCCTAATACTCTGCCAGCTACCTTTGCTTTGGCTCGGGAGGTATCCGCATGTCACGCTGAAGTCGCTGCAGCATATAGCCAATCCCCATACCGTGCTTGGCCTCGTTCTCCCCCAACGCTGCCAACGTCCACTGGAATCTTACCCACACCCGGATCTGGCGGCAAACTGTTAGCCGTCCCATCTCGATCACCAGATCGGGCCCCGGTTTCACACGTGCCTGTGGTTCGGGTAACCCCTACTGAAAAGGCCAAATGGTCCAAGAAAGGTTTGTGTTGCTACTACGACAAAAAATGGGATTCTAGCCACAATTGTCGACGCCGTTTCCTTGTCCTCATGGGGCCTGAGGATGACACTGACACCATGGGCCTGATGTGGTTTTGGGGATTCAATGGCTGCAGACCCTCCGGAAAGTTACTCTCAATTACGCAAGCATGAAAATGGAGTTTTCTTAGAAAGGCTCGGCATTTGCTTTACGAGGGGGACATCCCGAGCCCTCACCCAATTTCCAACAGTTTGTTTTGTTCCTTGGTCCACGCTGACGCCTCCGTAACATGTACGAACTTTTGGCCTGCGATCTGCCCAGTTCAATGACTCGGCTTCTCCGGGCTCGCATGGGAGTTTTCGCCCAAGCCTCAGGCTTGCCTCCGTCCCGACCGTGGGATCATCGCCTTGATTTGTCCGTCAATACAAAGCCCATTAATTTTTGCCCGTACAGGTACCCTTACTTCCAAAAGTTTGAAATCGAACGCCAGGTTTGTGAGATGTTACAACAAGGGATAATTTAGCCCAGCCACAGCCTGTTCTCTTCTCTTGTGCTCTTGGTCCGCAAAATGATGGTACATTCCATTTTTGCATTGATTATCGTGCTCTGAATGCCACCACGGTCCCAGATAATTTTCCTATCCCCACTCCTGACGAACTATTTGATGAATTGGGGCATGCCCAGATATTTACTAAACTGGATCTCCACTTCGGCTACCATCAAATTCGCATGCATGGCTCAGATGTCTACAAAATGGCTTTTCGCACACACGACGGCCATTGGGAGTTTCTAGTGATGCCCTTCGGCTTGTGCAATGCACCGTCTACCTTTCAAGCGGCAATGAACGGAATTTTTTGACATCTTCTACAACGGTTTGTCATCGTTTTCCTCGATGAAATCTTGGTTTATAGCCCCACATTAGAAGCTCATGCCAATCATCTCGCTACAGTATTGAACGTCTTGCAGGAACATGTATTCTTTTTAAAAATGAGCAAGTGCTCCTTCTGTCAAACCATAGTGGCCTATCTAGGACATATAATTACCGCAGGAGAGCTGCACCCCGATGCCGACAAAGCTAAGGCCATGGTCGACTGGTCCCAGCCGCGGACTCTCAAGCACCTTCGGGGCTTTCTAGGTCTTACGGAGTATTATCGCCGTTTTATAGCTGGTTATGCAATGATCGCGGCTCCGGTAACCAATCTTTTGAAGAAGGATAATTTCACATGGATGCGAGTAGCCCAGGCGAGCTTCGAGCGTCTCAAAGCATCCATGACTATGGCCCCCGTACTACGCCTCCCGGATTTCACTTGGCCGTTTTACTTGGAGACTCACACATCAGATACGGGCGTGGGCGCCGTTCTTTTACAACAGGGCCATCCATTGGCGTTCTTTAGCAAGAATTTGGGGACTCGTCGGCGGATCGCTTCCACCTATCACAAAGAATTGTACGCCATAGTGGAGGCGGTTCAAAAGCGGCGTCAATACCTATTGGGCCGGGAGTTTTTTATATTGTAGTGATCAACGTATCCTCAAAGAGTTAATATCACAGGTGATCCAGACACCTGATCAACAGTTTTATGCCAAAAAATTGATGGGCTACAAGTTTCAAATCGAGTACAAATCCGGGGCATCAAACCGGGCCGCGGATGCTCTTTCTCGCCGGGACAATGACAGTCACATGGCTGCCCTGTTCACCATATATGCATGGCCCTAGACCTCCTAGAACTTCATGCCGCGGTTAAGGCTGGCGAGGCACCACCCCATATCTCCGTTCACAACGGCCTACTATATTACAAATTTTATACATTGGGGCGGCCTCTCCTCTCCGTTTGCAGCTCTTGCACGAGTATCATGGCACGCCATTGGCCGAGCACCCAGGCGTCGAGCGCATGTTTCATCGAGTAGCCGACGGGTTTTTCTGGATGGGAATGCTACAGGACGTCCATAAGTTTGTAGCTTCCTGTGAGGTTTGTTAGACCACAAAATATTCCACTCAGAAACCCGCGGGCTTGCATCAACCTCTAACCATCCCCGATCAAGTGTGGGAATCTACTTCTATGGATTTCATTACGGGGGTACTGCCATCGCGGGGGATTTCGACAAATATGGTCGTGGTGGATTGCTTATCCAAGTATGCGCACTTTGGAGCCTTAGCCGCAGGGTCAAACGAACCAAAGGTGGCCCAACTCTTCTGGGACGTCGTCGTAAATTAAAGCACCATGGGTTCCCTAGCTCTATCGTCTCTGATCAGGATCCGGTTTTCATGAGTATTTTTTGGAAGGAGTTGATGAGTCTGATTGGCACCTCATTAAAATTCAGTACGGCCTACCACCCCCATTCGGATGGGCCAAACCGAGGTGCTCAATCGCGGGCTTGAGAAGTACCTTCGTGCCTTTGCGCATGAACTGTAACGCCCTAAAAACCGGCTTAGTAATTAGCCGTTATTTTAATAAAAATAAATAGATTATTTATTGACTCCAAAATATGAAATATTTGTAAAGTTGACCATTTTAGTTAAAAATTGGATTTTCGGGTAGATCTCGTAAAATGGTGGCCAACGGCATATTGTTTGTCAAGTTTGGAATTTCGTGTGAACCGTGGTGAGAGAAATGGTCAATAAAGTTCAGTAAATTAATGTAAAGGGATTTAGTGATATAATAATGATAATGATAATGATAATAATACTCTCTCCGTCCTAAAACTTTTTTCCCACATTCTCTTTTTCTCCATCCTAAAACTACCTTCACATTAGAAAAAAAAGGTGACAAATGACATTAATACCTTCATGTATTTATACCATTTATCTTCTAAACTCTATATTTTGAATGATTGCAAAAAAAATTCAAAAAATCTTTTTTAAGGAGGGTAAAATTTGAAGTCAAAGCCAAAAATTAAAAATAAAGAAAAGTCAAACTGAGAAGAAAGTTTTAGGACGGAGGGAGTAATAAGTAATGGAAAGGAACGGACATCAGTTAGGCATATATACGGTCACGGTCTTCTCCTTCGTTTCACACGTAACCAGAGAGGAACTTCGCCGGCCAAGATCTTCCTTCTTTGTCTTCACTCTTCGCACGCCAGACTAGGAGTTTTGCCGGATACATTGCCGGAGCTACACGGAAGTCGCCGGAGTCTGCATTATTTCAATTGAGATTTATTTTCCAACTTAATCGAGGTGAGTGATTTATCTCTCATTTGAATTGATTCGTAGATTAGGATCCGTTAATAGATTTTTGTGTAATTGATGTTGGATTTGTGAGTTGAATTGTTGAATTAATTGGGTGATTGAGTTTGGATTTGGGATTGGAACGTTACTGCCTATTTCTCTTCTCCTTCGATCTGTTCTGTTCTCCCTCGTTCTGTTCTGCTCTGTATTTGGTTCTCTGGCCGCTGCTATCTTCGAGGGTTGCTGCCACGCCGGCTTGTCGACGCGGGACGAAGCTACTGTCGGATTTCCGTTGTTGTGTTTCCGACCATGGAGGTCGCCGCCGGTACTGATTGCCGCTCGGGTCGCCGGTGACCCCGCTGCTGGACAAGAAGTTCGCCGCTGGTTTGAAGAGTAACTGCCGCCAGGTCGCTAACCTTCTGTTGACGCTGTGCCTGTTCCTTGAAGCAGTCGCCGCCGCAATTGCCGGTCCGGGGAAGAAGAACAAAGCTGCCCCTGTCTCCTCTGTCGCGCGTTCCAATTTGCAGAAGAGGAGGATGTGCCGGGCCGGGTTGACAATGGGAAGCGGGTACTCTTTTGACAATAGGATTGGGGATTTAAGTTTCTAAAATTGTAGATTGACTCTATGATCCTCAAGACGATGCAATTAGGCCCTCTTCAATTTTATGCCTCTAAATATGAATAAAGACTACAAATTAATCTAATGCATTGTTTAAACTAATGAATTGAGCAATGATAATTATGTGATTAAATTGGATTATGGGAATAAGCCACCCGGTATATCTAGGAAGGTATGAGTTAAACTGAATTCAAAAGCCACTTGGGGCGAGCTTCGCATAACTCACGGGTCTTGGGTTAAAAACGTACGTACGGGAGTCATTAGCCTACCTAGGGATTCCTTTGTAGGGGCTCCAACCCGCCCATTGAGGATTCTCTTTGGGTTTCATCAAGTGTGGCCTCGGGGGATCCGCCCGAGTGTCCATGACTTAGTTAGTCAAAAGGAACCTTAGCCTATAGGGTTAAGTGTAGAAGAACAACAAGAACTGATTATACATAAATAAATAGTTGATTATAATATTCGACAATGATATCTGTTGATTCTTCTGATATTGTGTGATTATATATTGATGGGTGCTAGTCTATGGGTTGGTTCTAGCGTTAGATACTTCCACTCTCCCTATTTTACAGGTAGGGATCAAGGATTAGATGAGGAGCAGCCGGGAGGACACTGAAGCGTGACGCTGTTAGATGACCGAAGCTGTTTTATTTAAAATTAATATAGTTGTTGAATTTGTTTACTTAAATTACTAGAATGTTGAATGTTGTTTTTAAGGCTTCCGCAACGTTTCAGTTATTTACTCCGATTAAACGAAGAATTGTTTTTCACTAAATATGAATGTTTGTTTTTTTCTGAATGTTTTTAAAATATTATGCATGTAAATACCAAATTAGTAGCAACCCGGTTCGCTAACTCGTCGGTTTGGGTTACGCGGGTTGGGGTGTTAAATGAACGCCCCACACGTTGGTCCTCGTTTCTCGTATGGGCTGAGCTTGCTTTAAACTTTTCCGTACATGAAGGTTTGGGTGTGCCCCCGTACCAAGCCCTTTACGGCCGCCACCCCCATCCCTATTTCCTACCATGGCCGTCTGTTCCAGCGTGCATCCTATTGAAAAACTCTTAACGGAACGGGCTAAGATGCTCGCGGACATTCGCACTCACCTTGCACGGATGCAACATCACATGCGTGACCAAGCTAATAAACATCGCCGCGAGGTCACCTTTAGCGTCGGTGACATGGTCCTTTTACGGCTGCATTCATATCGACAACATTTAGTGGCTCGACCAGTTTCTGTCAAGCTAGCCTGGCCGTATTATGGGCCATTTGAGGTTTTGGAGCGCATTGGTGAGGTGGCCTATTGTCTCTGGTTGCTAGAGGGGTGTCGCATCCACGATGTTTTCCATGTATCCGTGCTCAATCTGTTTGTTCGGCGTGATTCCTTGTCGCCGCTGTCCCCACTCCCCGCTGTTTTCTACAAAGGCCGACCGTTGTCCTTTCCCCTAGCCGCTATTGCTAGCTAGTGCGTTCTCGTGGGAGGTGTCGCGCAAGACCAATGGTTGGTCTGCTGGTCTGATGGCTCAGACGCCGATGCAACTTGGGAGCCCGTGACCGAGCTCCAATGTCATTTCCCCAATCTCCGCCTTGAGGACAAGGCGATTTCCAACCCCGGGGGAGTTGATACGAACATTGACGTTCCGCACGAAGAAGAAGCTCACGACCCTTCTGTCCTAGCCACATCGGGTCGTTCAAAGAGGAACGTTCATCTTCCAGGATAGTATCAAGACTATGTTTGATTATTTTTTTTGTTTGTTATTTTCTATTATTGTATTTATATTTTCTTAGGTGAGCGTGATTTTAAGCTCCTTTGAGGGGTTCTTTTTGGTTCTTTACCTCGTCGCTTTTCTTGAACTGACGAGATAGATAACATAGTTCTAGTAGGATTGGGACTCATTGTCTTCTATATAAGGAGGATTTTCCTTCCACACAAATATCAATAAACAATAAGTCCTCTCCTAAACTCTCTCTCTCTCTCTCTCTCTCTCTTTCCTCTCTTCTATCGTCCCTGTCGAAACCCTAGGGTTTCTCTTCCCTGGCCGTGAATCACCCCAACTGTCAAAACGGTTGCCGTTTTGTGGTTTTGCTCGGCTTCACAGTATCTGTGTTTGTTGTAAAGTTAACATGTCTACTTATTTGTTATGGGTACTAGATACGGGATGTAAATCTCATATTTGTACTTCAGTGAAGGGACTAAAAGAAAGTAGACAGTTGGCTCACTAAGAGATTGAACTGCTTTTGGGCAATGATGGAACTATTATTGTTGTAGCTATTGGCACATATAGTTTAATCTTACCATCTCATCTTTCTCTTCAATTAGAAAATATTTTATTTCTTCATGCAATGAGCAAAATCATTATTTCCGTTTCATGTCTTGGCAAGAATGTTTTCATTATTTCAATAAAGGACAATTTTTGTCCTATTAAAAGAGATAATGTGTTTTATGCTAATTCAAACATGACAATGGACTATATGTCCTTGATTTAGACATCCTATTACATAACATATCTGCTAAGAGATCCAAACCAAACTGTATGAATCTCACGTATTTGTGGCATTGTGTTTTGGGTCAAAAAAACAGAAAGTTTATCGAAACTTCACAAAAGTGGAGTGTTAGAATCATTTGATTTTGAATCATACTCATAAGTGTGTGTTAGGTTAGTACTTTTTATTTATTTTTAGACTTTTTTAGTATTTTTAGTTATTTAGCTTACTTTTTATTTTACTTTTGATTTTTACAATATTTTAAATTTTTTTCATAAATAGTAGTTTTTTTTATCATTTTTTTTACATTCTATTGTTTTATTTTATTTGTTCCCTAACCTAAGTTATCAGATATCTTATTTGTGGAGAAAAATGTACTGAACGACTAAATTAGAGTTCAAGTTTGAAAAGAAGAGTATGAGTTTGGGCTGGAGCCTAAGGCCATCATCAACAATCATGACCCAAAAGTATCATCCATGCGTCTTAATTAGTGAATGGTTTCTCTCCTCACCGAACTAACCTCGAGAAGGTATATGGTACATCCGGATGTACCTAGAGATAGGTACATCCGGATGTACCTAGAGATAGGTACATCCGGATGTACCTAGAGATAAGTACATCCCGGTAGTATCATTCTGAAATAAAGTAGTACTCATTCTCGTACAAATATAAATATTCATTTCGAAATACATAGTACTCATTCTGACAAAGGTAGTACTCATTTTAAAATAAAGAAGTACTCATTTTTACAAATTTGTCTAATATAATTATAATAAATAGCGTAGTGTTCATTCTTAAAAGAAACAATACTCATTCTCAAATAAGGAAATGGTCATTCTGAAATAAGGTATTGTTCAATTCTTTCACAATTGCGACCATCATCAAGCTTCTTCATCGCTACCCTTTTAGTCGGATCATCTTCTATCCGATTCATTCCAATCCCATCTCATCAATCCCACCTAGGGTTTCTACTATAAACCCGCCGCCACCATCGCCTTCCCTCGTCACGCCATTCTCCATCGTTTTGGCCTCCTCCCCGCGCCTCCCTTTGTCGTCGCCCCTCCTTCGCCGGCCTTCTTCGATCGTCTGCATTTGCGGCGTCTTCTTCGATCGACTGCATCTACTGCTTATTTTCAGCCGGCTGTACAGTTCTTCCCGTACAGCCGGTTGTACGATATAATATGCGACTAACCTCGCCCAATTTTAGATTGCATTAGTGAAGCAGCCCCAAAAGTGTGTTTCAAGTCTACAACAGCCCAACTATCAATAGCAGCAAAGATCTCTAACAACACCCCGCACATAGATTCGAAATCTCAAGTGCAGACTTAGATCGAAGCTAAATCAACGAAGGCTGTGAAGTAGACAAATTCAAAGCCTAACATTTTCAAAGAAATGACTGATTCAAACTAGCAATAATGTCTAGCATTCTTGCCCAAACGCTCGAACAGGTAGAAATTCAACAAGAAAAATTGAGGTGCAGCAGCACAAGTTAAGGATGGGAAGTCACACGGAATAGAGCGAGCTGCGGTTGCAATCGGGCAGTGGATGACTCCAGGAAACAACTCCTCTCATAGAACTAGAAGCTCGAGTTTCTTCAATTTTTTATCATTTTCTTCCTCTAATGGTAACCCTAGCTTGTTATTTGTTCAATTTCTTTTCTAACTCTATGTAAAAGTTGCTCATTTGAATTTAATTTTAAATTTCTTCTTGTTTGTTTTAATTTCAAAAATTCCAAAAATTATGGTTAGTGATCTTTTTTTGGGTGCTAGTTTTTCTTTGAATGTTTAAATTATACCCCTTATGAATAAAACTGGATTTATACATTGTTTTCTTTAATTGTTATACAAGTTGTTGAATTAGTTGAATCACATAATTTGATTTCATAAGTAGGTTGGTATGTGAAATTCGATTTTCATTGAAGCTATTTTAGTTCCATATTATAGTTAAATGATTTCCAAATTCATAAGGGATTTTTTGTTGTGATGTGTGTTTGTAAAATTTTAAGGTTAATGAACTTCTTAGCTCCATAAGTTGGACATTTTTCTTAGAATTTGTTATTGAGAAATTTTTTGTGATCGTGTGTTTGTTTATTATTTACATAAAAAATTAAGCTGGTTTAAGTACAAAAACAACTCTTAAGTTTTTAAAAATATATGATGTTCTCTTATGTGGATAAACTACAATTCTTATGCTTGAGGTGTTCATGGAGACCTGGAAAATATTTTCATGCTTGAGGTGTTCTAGGCAGTTTGTGAATAGGTTATGCATGAGAGTTAGAATGAAAGAAAGATTTGCTCTTTAATAAATCTTTTCTTTATTTGGAATCATTGTTTGAGCGCTTGGAGAGAGTTGGGATTCAAAGTGTTTTTCAAAACAAATCTTTGAATTACACAACTCTGGGCCTTATAGAGTTGACGATCCTCTATATGTGGACAAGGAAATGAGTCAACTCGAGCCTTTGTATTATTTTCTATTCTTATGTGTGTAAGTTAAGTAATATATTGTCTATGTTCTTACTATACATGTAATGTTTGACTTGTGTGCTTGTTCTATTTTTTATTTTGTTTAGGGTTCTTGGTAGTGTTTTGTGGGTTAGCTAAGTTGAAGTAGTTTACCATATCTTTTGGAGCTAACAGTTATTTCACCATTTTTGCAAAATAAAACCAAAAAAATATTTATTTTTATCGACCCCCTTTGTGTTTTATTGTTTAAGTTTTCATTTAATAAGTTATATATAAGTGTTTGTTTATAATAAGTTATAAATAAAAGTTTTTTGCGCTTTGTTCTTTTAATGTATTTTAAGTACGTGTTTTGGGTTTTTTAGATATATTATAAGTTCTGTGTTTATATAAAATATTTTTAAGTGTTTATATATAATTTAATTATAATTTTTATTATAATTTTTATAAGTTCTTATCATATGCCTAGTTAATAGATTTATTTTTATTTTATTTCATGATAATGTGTTTGCATGCTCAATTGGTTTTTAAAAAATATAATTTTCTCCGTGGGATCAGCCTTGTTTTCCCTAACTATTGTTTTTATTTGATTATACCTTGGGTGTTAGCTAAGGATATAGTAATAACTTTTTAATTTGTTTTGGAACGCATGACGGGTCCTCAACACATATGATACATCTGAATCTTGTTTATTGTGGAATATGACAAAGACTCCTTTCAACGGTCACAGAGAAAGAGCAGGTGATCTTCAAGCACTTATACATATCGATGAATGTGGGCCCATCAATATAATGAAAAGAGGTGGTTACTCGTACTTCATTACATTTTCTAATGATCTCAGTGGATATGGCTACGTGTTTCTAATAAAACATAAGTTAGAGGCTTTTGAAATGCTCAATGACTTCAAAAACAAAGTAGTGAAACAATTGGGAAAGGTTATTAAGGCTTTATGATAACATGGGATTTTATCCGAAGTCACTCCTCCTCACACGCCTCAATGGAATGTCGTGTCTGAAAGAAGGAACCTAACCTTTTTGGACATGGTTCAATCAATGATGAGTTTCTATCAGACTCGTTCTAGAGATACTCGTTGAACACAAAAATATATACTCTTAACAGAGTTCCAACCAAAGTGATCGTAGTGACACCACATGAGATATGGACAAGCACAATCTGTAAGTTATCCCATCTCCAGATTTGGGGATGTGAGTCTTACTTCAAACATATTTTGACATCTGGAAAGCTTGATACTATGTCTAATAAATGCATCTTTTTCAGATATCCCAAAGAAACACATGGATTTTATTTCTATCACCCAATCAACAGTAAAGTGTTTGTGTTACGAAATGGTTCCTTTCTTAAAAAAGGAGTTTCTCGCTAAAGGAGTTAGTGGGAGAAAGATATACCTTGAATAAATTCAAGACAACGATGAAGAGACCGCACATGACAAGGAACATGACTAAGAGGAAAAAATTGTTGTACCTAAACAGGCTGAGAACACATAACAACCGCGCATGTCGATTAGCTCGAGCATGTAACCAACCTGAAAGGTATGGATTTCTCCTAACCATGAAGGTGACGTGTTTCTTTTTGTGAATGACAAGCCAGACACCTACCCTGAGGCAATTAGTTTCCCTGAGGTCGAGAAATGGCTTTAAGTAATGAAATCCATGTAAACTAACCAAGTTAGGAATTTGGTTGAACCACCTAAGGGATTAAACCCATTGGGTGCAAGTGTGTCTTCAACAATAACACACACATGGATAAAAAAGGTTATAGACAAATTCAAGGTGTTCACTATGATGAAATCGTTTCTCAAGTCATGATGATTATGTCCATTTGGATCTTATTGGTTATTGCAGCATACTATGATTATGAAATTTTGCAAATGGACGTCAAAAAAACTTTTCTTGACAGAAATCTTCTAGAGGATGTGTACAGGACAAAACCTAAAGCATTTTCTATTCTTGAAGAGTTTACCAAAGTATACAAGTTGCAACGTTGAATCCATGGATTAAAGCAAGCCTCACGGACTTGGAATATTTGTTTTCATAAAACCGTATGTAGATACGGATTTGAGGAGAGTAATGATGAGTCTTGCATATACAAAAAGGCCAATGGGAGCGTTGTAGTCTTCCTTGTATTATATGTTGATGGCATACTACTCATGGGGAATGACATTCCTACTTGTATGTCTCTTAAAGCCTCATTGAGTAAGAATCTCTCCTTGAAGGACTTGGAAGAGGCTAGTTACGCTCTTGCCATGAGGATCTATAAAGATTGAGCTAAGAAGTTGATAGGTTTGAGTCAAAGTACATACATAGATAAAATGCTAAGTCGATTCAAAATGATTGATTCCAAATGAGGAAATCTGCCTATACTTCAAGCATAATTATTGATGGCGAGCACCATTTGCGCCCATCTCCCCTAAGGCGCTGGGGCGAGCTCTCTCCTCCATGTATAGTTGATGCGAGGCATTTTACGTGAGGCGCGCCAGAGGCGGTTGCCATTGTCACCTAGGGGTTTCTAGCAAGAGGCGTGCGCCAACTACGCCATGCATCTAGTCAGTTTTTTAGAAAAAGACTAAACTCTGACCTATTTAACCCATTATGTGTCTCAGCTCTACGCTACAAGTTATAAAAGACTCAACAACTGCTACTGTGTCTATTGTTATCTCTTTTGCTGATTATTATCCATCAAGAGTCAATCTCTAGTCGCCAATTTTTTCATCTCCACAATCGCAACTCGCACCAGGTTAGATACTCACAAGCCTCTTCTCTACTTTGCTTCAAACCCTTCACGTGAGTTTATTCTTACTCTTTTGTTGATTTATTTTTATTATGTTTTTAGTAAAAATGGCTCCATATAAGAGTAATAGATCCTACATTTCCCTAGATAGGACGATCTATGTTTTTTTCCTTACATGGGAGTTATTATTATAAATAATGAATAAATTCATAGCATAATTGTTCATTTTATTGAATATGTCACTCATCATGTCTATAAATATTACAAAGTACATAAAGAGGACAATTAAGGAAAGTGATTGGAACTTAATCAAATATCTTGATTGGTTATTTGATTCCAATCAATGATATTATCCTTATCATCAAGATAATACAATCAATACTATTCCTTTGTTTGACACTATTCCTTTGTTTAACATTTCTAACACTCCTCCTCAAGTTGAATCCTCCGTTACGGATATTTAACTTGCTAAATGTTGCTTGAAAGACTCCAGCCGGCACTGCTTTTGTTAAAATGTCTGCCAACTGATCTTCAGATCGGACATATGGAAGACTAATGATATCTGCCTCGAGTTTTTCTTTGATAAAGTGACGATCAATCTTGATGTGCTTGGTACGATCATGTTGTACTGGATTCTCTGATATACGGATAGCAACGGTATTATCGCACATCAGTCTACACTTTCCCTTCGGCGGGTACCCCAAATCTTTAAGGAGTTTTCTTAGCCAAAGGACTTTGGTAATACTTTGAGCGATACTTATGAATTCTGCTTCTGCACTTGATAAAGCAACTACCTTTTGTTTCTTGCTTTTCCATGTGACCAAATTACCTCCAACAAAGGTGAAATACCCTGAAGTGGATCTTCGATCATTTGGATTCCCTGCCCAGTCATCATCTGTGTAGGCTTGAATATCTAAGTGACCATGTTTTTTGAATGTAACT